CAATCTCTGTAGGAACAACAGAGCAAAGGCCCTTTGGCATAAGTGTGCCTGGCATAGCCACTCAACAGTAAGCAGGCATGATGTCTAAAGCAGAGAGCAAGGGAGAGAAGAATTGGTTATTAATAGGGTACAATAGCACCTTAAAGGACACTGTGAAGAGTTACTGTGAGAAGAGAAGCCATTGGAAGCCACTGGAGGGGTTTAAGGAAAGAAGCAACATGATCTGACTTCAATTTTGGTAGGATCACCCTGGCTACTATATCAAGATTACAGTGAAATAGGCAAGTACAGAAACAGTGAAACAAGTTAAGAGGTTAGTGTGAGAATGAAGCAAACGATGATAACAGTAAGAGCAGAGATAGAGCAGAGAAGCCCATGTGGAATGTACTGTTTCATGAAGAGCTGGCAGGTCTGCTAATGATGTGGGATGTGGGAGAAAGTAGGGAGCTAAGGATGATGCTGTTTGCTGGCCTGAGGAAGTGGATGAAGGGAGCTTCCCTTTACTGAAATGGGAAAAAATAGGAGAGGAACAAATGAGGAAGGCATAAAATCACGTTTGGTATAGAACAAGGGTCAGAACTTTTGTCTGCAAAATATTTTTGCCTTTGATCTACGTCGTAACTACACAACTCATCACTATAATGCAGTCATGGCAATATGTAAATAGATGAGTCTGTCTGTGTTTCAATAAAACTTTATTCATGGACACTAAAACTTGATTTCATATAATTTTCACATCGTGAAATATTGCTCTCTGTTGATCTTTTCCAACCATTTCAAAATGCAAAAATTATTGTTTGTTTGCAGTCATAGAGGCTAGATTCTGTTGGTGGCCCCCTGGTATAGAACACATTTAGTTTTCAGTGATACAGTCTGTGTCTTATAACAGTGAGTTCAGGGCTTTTGCTGTAATACCACAATTATTCATGTGACATGGGAAAGGGCATGTTTTCATTACCATTACACAATCAGCTCAGATTTTGACATGAATTACTCAGCAAGCTAAACAGTGATTTTTTAAGAGTGTTTACTCCATAAAATAGAAAGCTCTATAATATACAACAAAATATTATCAAATTTACCAGCACTTGATGTACAACCAACTTCTCAGGAATATACACACAGAAATTGAGTAATACCTTAAAGGTATACAGAACCTTCACTCCAAAGTTAGAAACAGAAATGTATTAGCACTAAAAGGTATGAAAGCTCAAGATTAATTATTGTGGGGGGAACAAGAAAACTAGAAAAAATAAACTGTGAAACTGACAGAATGCTTTTTCAGAACAAATAATTGGTCTTCTCCAGGGAGTTTCAAATGTTCAAATTTGAAACTTAAGCTCTTTTTATTTTAATAGACTCACTTTAAAAACAAAAGAGTCAGCACCTAAAAAAAATATTCTAACAGCATAGATGTGTAGCTAGAAAAAAAACTGAAAAAATTTAACAGAGGGACAAGATGAAATATTCCTCATACACTTAGTCAAATAACAGAAATTTTTGAGTCAGAGCCTCTCATATTCTAGGGAGCCCAAAGGCAGCACAATTATACAATCAGAACAAATAATGTTTTTAGAAAACCATCTTTAAGAAGTTGACCCTGACTCTCAATCCACTCAGTGGCTTATAAATGCTGTGGTTAGGATCAAGTAGCCTTGGCAACTGTCGAACCCAGGAAAGTCTCTGGGTGGCAGTTGGTTTATTAACTGCATAATCATGTTAAGTTGCTTCCAATCTCTAGGCTTCACTTTCCTCATCTGTAAAGTGGGGATAAAGATATCTACCCCACATAACAGTAAATGGAAGAATATTTGTAAAACCTTTAAAAGAGTGCCCGGTCCAGAGTACTAAACGCCCAATAAACAGAAATTAAGAGATTCTTAAATATGATATGCAAAAATTATCTCCCGTGTTTCATAAAGTTTTCAGTTAGTTTGGAATAAAAAACTAGATGGCTGAAAAAAAATGCCCAAACCCTACCCTTTCACTGACTTTACCAATACATTTAGGACACATTTAGCACATCATACCTTCTCGAAGGCACACTGAGGGTTTCTGCAAACAGCAGGTTTGCAGATAACAATATCACCATGGCAACGGCAATTCTGGCACGAATCGGGCTTCCAAATTGTGGCATCCTGCAAAGAAGCATAAGCTCTGAGTTAAAAACGGATCAGTCAAGGTATGAACACACAACAGCACCTTCAACAGCCCTACAGCCTGAACAATTAAAAGGCAAAGGAAAAGTCACAGGCACGCATCGTGCTTACTGGGTACTGATTAAATCTCGAGAGGCAATAAAAGCAGTATAATCCATTTCACCACAGTCAACCCACGTAGCCCACGACAAGGGCATGCAGCAGAGAGCTCTCGATACCCAGAGTAAAAACCATCGATTGACCTGAAACGTCAGGGGGACAAGCTGCTCCCTGACTTGAAGTTTCTCTTTGCTCTTAAGCAGCAGAAACCTTCAGAGCCTGTTTAAAGGAAAATGACACTTGGACAAGCACTAGCCAGCATTTTCTAGCTCTTTACTACTACACACTTTAATGCTCATCGGAATCAAGAAGGACTGAGTAAGTAGTTCAATGTTTTTAAGGCAGATCAACCAACACACTGAGTGGCTATTACGTGTCCAGCTGTATGCCAGGCATAAGGGGGTATAAATAAAGCACCATCCATAGGACCTCACAAATTATTTTGGATTATGCACATGGGGATATTAAATAAACAAAAATAGACGACACTATGTTAGTTCTCATGAAATTGAAAAGCAAAGTAAGCATCATAACAGAAAAGTAAAACTGGGCTCAGTGCAAAAAGGACTTAGAAATGTCGTTCCTATTTCCCACCTTCCATCATGCTGAACCCGTATTTCAATGTGTCCATCTGAAGCACCTTTGAGTACAGAACCCACAGAGACCAGTCTCTGTCCAAGGCTGCTTGGTTGGCTTCAAATTGACCCTACTGAAATATATTTTCTCAGAGATTTCCTAACCTAATTTCCTATTTTGTATGGGTTGAAAAAGCCATACTGTTGGCTGAGTTTTGAACACTGCCTCTTTTAAGAGGGCTGTCTGTGTTATTCTCTGGTTTAAAACTATAATGTCTCTCACCTTTACCTCTGGTGGGATAAAGCACAGATATCTACCCTACATAACAGTAAATGGAAGAATATTTGTAAAATCTTTAAAAGAGTGTCCGGTCCAAAGTACTAAACGCCCAATAAACAGAAATTAAGAGATTCTTAAATATGATATGCAAAAATTATCTCCCGTGTTTCATAAAGTTTTCAGTTAGTTTGGAATAAAAAACTAGATGGCTGAAAAAAAATGCCCAAACCCTACCCTTTCACTGACTTTACCAATACATTTAGGACACATTTAGCACATCATACCTTCTCGAAGGCACACTGAGGGTTTCTGCAAACAGCAGGTTTGCAGATAACAATATCACCATGGCAACGGCAATTCTGGCACGAATCGGGCTTCCAAATTGTGGCATCCTGCAAAGAAGCATAAGCTCTGAGTTAAAAACGGATCAGTCAAGGTATGAACACACAACAGCACCTTCAACAGCCCTACAGCCTGAACAATTAAAAGGCAAAGGAAAAGTCCCAGGCACGCATCGTGCTTACTGGGTACTGATTAAATCTCGAGAGGCAATAAAAGCAGTATAATCCATTTCACCACAGTCAACCCACGTAGCCCACGACAAGGGCATGCAGCAGAGAGCTCTCGATACCCAGAGTAAAAACCATCGATTGACCTGAAACGTCAGGGGGACAAGCTGCTCCCTGACTTGAAGTTTCTCTTTGCTCTTAAGCAGCAGAAACCTTCAGAGCCTGTTTAAAGGAAAATGACACTTGGACAAGCACTAGCCAGCATTTTCCAGCTCTTTGCTACTACACACTTTAATGCTCATTGGAATCAAGAAGGACCTGAGTAAGTAGTTCAATGTTTTTAAGGCAGATCAACCAACACACTGAGTGGCTATTACGTGTCCAGCTGTATGCCAGGCATAAGGGGGTATAAATAAAGCACCATCCATAGGACCTCACAAATTATTTTGGATTATGCACATGGGGATATTAAATAAACAAAAATAGACGACACTATGTTAGTTCTCATCAAATTGAAAAGTAATCGTCATAACAGAAAAGTAAAACTGGGCTCAGTGCAATAAAAGGACTTAGAAATGTCCCTCCTATTTCCCACCTTCCATCATGCTGAACCCATATTTCAATGTGTCCATCTGAAGCACCTTTGAGCCCAACTATAGCACAGAACCCACAGAGACCAGACTCTGTCCAAGGCTGCTCGGTTGGCTTCAAATTGACCCTACTGAAATATATTTTCTCAGAGATTTCCTAACCTAATTTCCTATTTTGTATGGGTTGAAAACAGCCATACTGTTGGCTGAGTTTTGAACACTCTGCCTCTTTTAAGAGGGCTGTCTGTGTTATTCTCTGGTTTAAAACTATAATGTATCTCACCTTTACCTCTGGTGGGATAAAGCACAGATGCCATGATCAGGCACTTGCCTCTTTCCCGGGCCTTGGCCAATCTCTCAGTCCTGAGACTTTCATCCCTCACTTAAGTCGGCCACGCCATTGGACAGCCCCAGCCTCCCTAATCTGTCCCCACTCCTCCTTCACTTCCCCAGAGACAGTCTGCAAACCAGCATGCTTCTTTTAAGCCTCAACCTCAAGGATAAATATTTCCTATCCCTTAACCCTGCACCTCTCTCTCTCTCTCTCTCACACACACACACACACACACACACACACACTCAGGTGTGGCTCTTCAGTAATTCTCTGTGACCTCACTGTTTCCTGCATTCATCTACTTTCCTGTTAGCTTGCTAGACCAGAATGTAAGCCCTCAAAGCAGGCACAGTCCTTGGCTGGCTGGCCTCTGTAGGTTCTTTATAAACCAAGGTGCACAGTTCATTAAGTTGCTTAGTAAAGACACTTTCCTGCTTTCTAAAGATTCTCATCCTTTATTCCTCAGTCAGGCAAATGAAGTGTTATTAGAATTCTTTGGGGCAGAGTCAAAGCAGTGTCCAAGCTCCTGACAGGTCCTCAGAACACTAGCATTCGACTTGAACTGGATGAGCTGGGAAGCCGGCAGATGCTAGCAACAGACACTTTCACACCGCAAGGCTGAAATCACATGCAATGGTTAATGTTATGTGTCAACTTGGCTAGGATATGGCGCTCTATTGTTTGGTCAAACACCAACCTAGATGTTGCTGTGAAGATGTTTTGTAGATGTCGTTAACTTACAATCAGTTGATTAAGTAAAGGAGGTTACCCTTGATAACCTGGGTGGGCCTCATCCAATCAGTTGAAGGCTTACAGAACAAAACCGGAGGTTTCCTAGAGAGGAAGGAATTTGGCCTCAAAACTGTAACACAGGAATTCTGCTGGAATTTCCATACTACCAGCCTGCCCTACAGATTTCAAAATTTCAGACTCAAGACTGTAACTTCAACGCTTGCCTGAATTTCCAACTGGCCAGTCTATAGGCTTGGAACTTGCCAGTCCCCACAATTATTGCACAAGCCAAGATACATACGTCTTTTCTTGGTTCTGTTCCTCCGCAGGACCATATCTGACATACCAACAATGTACTGATTTACATGAATGTGCACAACATTCCCACGCAAAATGAAGTCATCCTTTTAGGCTGAGAAATGTTAAATGCATACATAACTTCTTAGGGAATGTGCTTCAGAAACAAAGTCATTTAAGAAATATAAAGTGCATCTGAAGTGAGATTACATTCCCAGTAGCCAATTCACAAAAAATCAGAATCGAAGCAAATGAGCACTAGAACCTGACTTGCAAAACCTCTGAATCTCTTTCTCTTTATTGTTATAGCTCATTCCTCTGAAATTGGCAATAGTGTGCCAACTATATTGACTCTTCACCCAAAGAGCAATGACAAGTGGGTGAGGAAAAACAAATTCCATCCCCAAGCACAATGTAATATATCTTTCCTGCTGATTTCAAGAAAACGATATTAGTTTCAGGATACAGATTAAATAAAAATGACAACTTCACAGAGGCAGCCACTACCATTTATTGGTCATTATCTTAGACTGACTAAGGCCTGACTCTTGGAGCAGGAAACACTGATGTAAGGAGGCACTTGTGGTCCTGGAGGAGGGGGCCTGGTGTGCTTTCCCAGCCTCTGCCCTCATGCCGGAGGGCTGGGCCCAGCAGAGAGGGACTTGGCTTACTGAACTCTACACAGTAGAGTTCTAAAAACATGGAATACTTTTTCACTTTCGTTCGTAGAACCACAAGTTTCCTCTATGTTAATTCAATGTTAAAGTTATCTGGGCCCAGGAAGCCTTCCTGAATTTGTTTAATATCTGTCTTTCCACCAGACTATGACTCTTCAAGGAAACAGATCTCTTCCTCTTTGTCCCCATCACCTAACACAGTTCCTGAGTGTTGGATGAATTCATTAAAGAATGACCCTGAGTACTTGCTTATCCTCAGGATAATATCTGTCCAAGTGAGCTGAGATACCCCAGTTAGGATGCAAGATGTGGATAATGCAATGTTTAAGTGATGTCACTACAAAATCCCCATAATGTAGAAGGTTATTACTTCACTCAATCAAACTATGTTTGAAGAAAAATTTCCTTCATCTAAGGCATCGGACTTGTCAAAAAAGTACTTATAATAATGTCCTCATAGAGTAAATAATTTATGGTTAATTTTATTTTTAAAGATTTTTTTATTGATTTTTAAAGAGAAAGGAAGGAAGGGAGAGAAATAAACATAGATTGGCTGCTTCCTGCACACTCCCTACCAGGGATCAAGCCCACATCCCAGGCATGTGCCCTGACAGGGAATTGAACCAGCAACCTTTTGGTGCATGGGACTACACCCAACCAACTGAGTCACACTGGCCAGGGCTATGGTTAATTTTAAATAAAGTAAGCCCTTTACCAAGACCTGGACAGATGGCCATATTTTTTTTTAGCTCTAAAACTTTAAGAATCAATTTCTATGGTCCCATAAAATTGCTTTATGACAGTAGGGATACGAGAGTTCCTCAATAGTTGAAACTTTGGATAAAGTCATAAAGACCAAAGAAATAACATTGTAAAATAAGTTTACAGGTTTTCCATGTTACTATTGCAATTCTCTCTTCCAATCTAACACACTCTGCAAAAGAAATAGTCTTAAAATTGTTTTCCTCTAGAATATAAATTAAAGGATTAAATTTTGACAAAACTAAAAAGCAATCAAAGTGTGACCTATTTAAACAGATTTTTATATTTTTAAAATATGTTACTAAAATGTTCTTGCAAATAATATAGTGCCTCCATCCCTAAATATTTTTTTCTTTTATTTAACTTTATTTTTATTGTTGACACTATTATAGGTGCCTTTCTTTGCCCATCTCCACCCAGCCCTGGGCCCCCCTTCCCTCTGGACAACACCATGCTGTTGTCTGTGCCTATGGGTTATGCATATATGTTCTCTGGCTAATCCCTTCACCTTCTTTCATCCACTCTCCCCACTCCCCTCCCCTCTGAAAGCTGTCCGTCTGTTCCATGCACCCATGCCTCTGTTTCTATTTTGTTCGTGAGTTTATTTTATTCATTAGACTCCACATATAAGTGAGAGCATATGGTATTTGTCTTTCTCTGAATGACTTATTTCACTTAGCATAATAATCTCCAGGTTCATCCATGCTGTCACAAAAGGAAATATTTATTTTTAAGTAATAGCAAGATGCTTCAATTAAAAACACACATGTATTTCACTTGGTTAAGTATTTACTAAGCATTTAATTAGTGCTAAAAAGAAACCAGGACTACATCCCTCATCAGTCCTCAATTTATGGGGGAAATTATTTATAATATTCTATAAGAGCAGTATATAAACTGTTAACATAAATTTTCTTTCATCTAAATGGTATACTAATCCCACTTCAATTATTGATTGATTCATCTCATTTTAAATTCCCTTGGTTCTTAGACCAAAAATGAGAAAGAAGGAACAACGTTCCCCCAAAGCAGTGCTTTCAAGTTATAAAGTAGTATGTAAAATATTCCTCTCTGTAAAAAAAAAATCAAAAAAAAATCACATGCATAGAAACAAAGTATGGAATTATGGAAACCAGTAAGTGAAGGGTAGTCATCCCTAGGCATGGATTCTAGATGATTTTTTTCCTTTGCTCTTATCCATATTTTCTATTTTTAGTAACAACAATACAAAATTTAGTGTGATTTTTTGCATATTAAAATTTCCCAGAATAGCATGACCAGTAATAATGGGTATATGTACTTATAAAACCTATTTCTTTAAATAAAGTATTTTCACAAAAATCTCAGATTTTCAAAGCCATCTCTAAGTAACTTAGTGTTGGGATACAGAGCTGATGAGAACCTCCCAGGTAAGAGGAGTTTGATTACCAGGACCCCTGGCTTCCCTAGGTGGGTGGGTAGGGATGGTTGTGGGTAGCTTTGGGCCTCAGT